AAATGGGGATCTGATGACAAGGATCTACATATAACTCCCTCCCTAGGACGGACAACAGAAAAGTGGATGAAGGGAGACATTGGAAAGTGTAAGACATGACAAAATAATAATAATTTATAAATTACCAAGGGTTCATGAGGGAAGTGGGGGGGCGGGTTGGGGTGGGGGAATGGGGAGCTGATACCAAGGGCTCAAGTAGAAAGTAAATATTTTGAGAATGATGATGGCAACAAATGTACAAATGTGCTTGACACAATGGAAATATGTATGGATTGTGATAAAAGTTGTATGAGGCCCCAATAAAATGATTTAAAAAAAGAATAAGAAACCACAGAAAAACAAACAACCTGCAAAGAAAAAAAAATTAAAATTCAGCAACAACAAAAAGAAAACCACATAAACAAGACAAACAACAAGATTAAAAGCAAACAAACAAAAGTTCAAAGAGGTGTCAATAAGATAATGAAGAAACAAAAGGAACACACAAACAAAAATCATCATGCAAACTGAAACCAGTAACAAAATAAAAAATAACAAAAGTCACGTAAACAAGATCATATTTATCAATAACAACACAACACTGAATTTAAACAGACTGAATTCACCAGTTAAAATATAAAGACTAACATAACAGATAAAAAATAACTTTTAATATGCTGCTTACAAGAAATTTGTCTTCGATATAAAGACAAACAGACCAAAAATCAAATGATAGAAAAAAAATCAAACTAACAGCAGTCAAAAGAAAGCGAGAGTAGCAATATTAATCTCAAACAAAATAGACATCAAAGCTAATGACATAATGATAGACAAGGGAGGTCACTGTATTATTATGAAATCTTTAGTTAAACAAGAAAACATAACCGTAATTAATATACATGTACCAATTAAAGACTATCCAAATATATTAATCAAATTTTCATAGAAATGAAAAGACACCCTTTACAGAAAAATGAAAGAAGAGTAATATCTCACACCATATACAAAAATAAACTCAAGATGGATTAAAGATATAATTATAAAACCTAGAAATATAAAGATCATCAATGATAAAATAGTGACAGGCTTAGAGGGTTTGATAGAATTCATGGCATAAGCATACTATCAAACATAATGAGAAACACAAACAAGAGAAAGCAAATAGATGACTGGGACTGCCTAAACATTAGATATTTATATGCATCAAAAGAGTAAAAAGAGAACTCATAGACTTGGGAGGTAGGGGTGCAGATTGACAAGCATATATCAGACAAGGGAATAATCTTAAAAATCTTAAAATATACATAAACCTTCAACATGTCAAACTGAAAAAGACAAGTAACTAGCTTTTTAAAAATGTGTATAAGACATGAACAGATCACCAAAGAAAACATTTAGCTTGGCAAAAACATGAAAAGAACTGTTCCCAATCATTATCCATTCAGGAGATGCTAATCCAAAGAACAATCAGCTATCATCTCACCCCAACATTAATAGCAATGGTCAGAAAAAGAAATGAAATGAAATGTTGGTGGAGTGTAGAGGCTAGATGCTGGTACCCTCAGGCACTGCTTGTGGAACTGCAAAATGGCACAACTTCTCTGAAAAGCAGTATGACACGTTCTCAAAAGTTAGGAATAGAAATACCATGTGATCTATAAGTTCCTCTACTTGTATATAGCCTAATGAAATAAGAATCACAACATGAATAGATATGCCCATCCAAATTTATCACAGCATTATTCATAATATCAAAAAGGTGGGAAATAACCCGAATGTCCATCAGAGCAAGAATGGATAAAGTTTGGTATATGCACATAATAGAAAACTATGCAAAACTGGAGAATAACAATGAATCTGTGAAGTTCCATATAAATTGATAAACCTGATGGATATTATGCTGAGTGAAATTAGTCAATCACAAGAGGACAAAATGAAATCTTTTATAAAAAGTCAAGAAAAAGTGGATTTGGAAGTCATATAACTTCAGATCAAGTCTCTTACTCTTGAGGTTGTCCAATAACTGGTAATTTAAGGCTATCATATATTTGCAACTAACTGAAGTGTCAGCTAAATCCACACAGAAGCAGCATACTAGCCAGTGTGATACACGAATTGTAATTAGTAAAATCCAAAAATAGAAAAGGGAATTGTATTAGAGTTTAAGTTCTGAGAACCAGCTTTCAGAAGGCTATGGATGACAGTGAAAGTCTAAAATCCATTTATGAAGTCCCCAGATGTATTAAGGCTCTGGTGAATGCTCTGTAACCATTTACCAGATGCATGAATAGTCTTGCCCTCAGAGTGCATTGGAAAGTGAATTAATGAAGATTGTGTTAGACTGGGTTGACTAGAGAAACAAATCCAGAGACACTCATAGATGTATAAGAAAGAACTTTATATCAAGAAGTAATTGTGTATAAGGAAAATATCCCAGCCCAGTCCAACTCAAGTCCATAAGTCCAATTCTAGTCCATAAATCCTTCTTCAGACACATGAAGCCACATGCAATGATGCAGGAAGGTCACAGGCTGGTGGGTGCAAATTCTGTGGATCCAATGGTGTTGGATGCATCTTCAGGGATCCACAGGCCTCTGTGTGGCTCATCAATAGGAAGGTGAAGGCAGCAAGACAGGAAGTTCCCAGGACCGTCCATAGGAGAAGGCCACGTCCACCAGGAGGTATCATCAGGCTGTGAACTCATTGACAGACTAGACTCTACCCCTACACTTTTATGTTTTCAAGTTGACACAAAATTATCTAGGTACCCCAAGATATAGTTAGGTTATGAAGTAACTTATCATTAGTTTTTATTTTGATACATTTAAATGTGTTTGAGTTTCTATTGTTTGCTACTTTATTTTGGATTGAGGGTTTTCTTTGTTTGATTTTCCTGATGTTGGTGGTGGTGGTACTGCTACTGCTGGGGGCTTTTTTTGCATGATTTTCTTTATATGAAATCCAGAATAGGTAAATCTATAGAGACAGTAACTAAATTCATATTTTCTCAGGGTCATGGCAGGTGTAGTTGGGGGAGGAGAGGAGCTAATAATAATCAGTACAAGAATGAAGAAATGTTCTAAAAAAGATTATGATGATGATAACTGTCCAATGTTCCCTAAGGACTCTTCCACTTTCACATGCTCATGCCTGATCTCATCTGTTTCTTCTCTCTGAGATGTTCTTGGTCTACTCTTTTAACTCTTTTAAATATATTAAAACTATGGAATGGTTTGATACATTATTTTTATGTCCATAAAACTGTTAAACTTTTTAAGTCAAGAAAAGGTTTTAATACAAAAATAAATATATTTTCATGCATTCTTGGTGTACAATGGGAAAGAAGGGAATGAAAGCCAAAGGCTAGATGGTAAACAAGTGTTAATTTAGGTAAGGGATAAGCAGTATACTGGGATTTGTAAGAGTTAAAACCAATAAACATTTTTTTTTTTCCAGTGGGTCTCTGACCTAAAAGCTGAGTGGTCTCAGTTAAGTTGTTTGACTCTTTGGGACTCTAGGGTTCACATATGCCAAGTCTTGAAATATGGAATTCTAGAATTTAACACAAACATTTATATTTCCAAATGTGAAACTGAAGTAACGTTTATCTAAAGATGAGTTTGGATTCTTTCTATGGCGCAGAAGGCAATAAAAAAGAAATGTCCTCACTTACCAGACCTTTGTACTAGCAGAGGGAGGGGGGAGAGAGCTCTCCCAAGTGTAGATGCCAAAGTATTTTGTCCTGCATTTTGAGTCACACTAATAGCCTTAAGGCCTACAGATCTAGCTATATTTGCTCACATCAGAAATATGATCACTTCTTGGAAGGTTTAATGTAGACATACTAGATTTCTGATGGGCTTCCAGGAATACATTTATTAAATGATACAAAAACTCACAGAAACAAGATCCCCTGGATCAACCATACTAGGCTTAGACTTGAAGGAGTGCAGTGTATAAAGTGTGTAAAGAAAATAGAGTCAGAACATGTCAAAGCAAAATTTATAAGACCTAATTTTGAAAATGTTGTTGAACCAAAAGCCATAAATACACTTACCCTGATGCATCCATAGTTTGTGTCTTTTTTATTAAGTTAGAAATGATAGAGAGTTTGCTCTGCTTTTCAACTCCAAACATCATGTAAACATTTGTTTAAATCAACAATCATTTACCAAATACTTTAAGTTGGAGGAAGCCTAGCACTAGGGATATAGAGATCAGAGCTTCCTAATCAGTTCTCTCCAATATGATATTCTGATGAGTATTTGCATTTCCCCTCCTTTTATACTGAATCAGAACCTTAATCTTAACAAGTTCCCATTCCTAAGGATCACTTAGAGAGCTGTAAGAATCACCTGTGATCTTATTAAAATGGATTCTGATTCAGCAAATCTGAGGTAGAAAAGCAAAATTTGAGCCATCAGTGTAAACTGCTTAAAAACTCTGGTAGAAACAATTAAGGAACTCAAAAAGTGATGGATAACAGATTAGGCAGGACAAATGCAAGGCTGAGTTCTATATTGGGAGTCAATTCACCTGGTGGTGCAGGGAGAACATGGTCAGTGTGGCCCTTGGCAATGTGGGAAATGGCCCTTAGACTGAGGGGTCAGAAATGACTTTTGAAACTCACAGTGACTGTTAAATGAGCAAAAATTTTCTAAGTAGACCAAGAACATCTCAGAGAGAAGAAACAGATGAGATCAGGCATGAGCATGTGAAAGTGGAAGAGTCCTTAGGGAACATTGGACAGGTGGACACAGACAGATGACAGGGTGGTTGAGAAGAATACTCATAACTGCAAAGGTCAAACTATGAAGGGATGGAATTCCAGACTTCACAACTGCTCCTTTTGGAAATGGGCATAGAAAGATCTCTCTGCAGCTATGCAGATGATGAATGGCAAGGGAATGAATTTGGGAAAGGGGAATTAGGAAGCTACTGCAATGGTGTGGATGGGAAATGGAAAAGTTAACCACAATGGGCTGGGTTAAAGGTTATCATTTCTTTTTTTTTTTTTCCTCCAGGGGAGAGCACGAACGCATTCCCCTCTACCACAAATTATGCAGTCGAGTTTCCCCCATTTGGGGAAATCGCAGTGGTCAGCACATCCGGAGTGCAATGGATAAGCCTTGCCCTGGGAAAACCACCTTCGTGATCATGGTATCTCCACTGCCAGGTAAGTATAAAGGTTGTCATTTCAAGAAAAATCGAGGAATAAGAATCTTCAGCCAAAGAAGGCTAAAAGAGTGGTGTGTGTGTGTGTGTGTGTGTGGTCAATAGTGATTTACAAAGCTTAATTTAGATAATAACATTTCTTACAATATATGTGTGTGTAGTCAATAGTGATTTGCAAAGCTTAATTTAGATAATAACATTCTTAGAGTAGTATTATCACGATGATAGCCAGCATTTAGGATTTACTGGTCCCACACTTGGGTGGGTTGTAGATTGTTCACTACAAGGTCAATAGATTAAAGCTATCAGTGGCTCTATAGGGTAAAGTTGAGGCCATCTGCTCAATAAAGATTTACAGACTTGGACACCCTATACAGGTTTACCACAAATCAGAATTGACTAGACAGCAGTAGGTTTCAATTTTTTAGTTTGGTGTTCGATTTAAAGCATTTCATACATGTGAGCACATTAAGGTTTTACTAACATAGTCCAAGCTGACAATAGGGTTTGAGTATTGAAAGTGCCATGGAGCACAGTTCTATTCTTACACACACAGCGTCAGCATAAATGGGATCAAAGACAGCTATTTTTTGTTTCATTTTCTTTTTTTAAGTAGGTACCATATTTACAGCTATTTTATAGATGAGGAAACTGAAGCAAAGAAAGATTAAGAAACTGACCCATGTTCACATACTAAGTGATGATGCCAAGATTCAAATCCAGGAAATCTGCCTCCAAGAACTATAGCATAGTCACTCCCCATGCACTGGAATTCAATGAGATAGTTCAGAATAGAAAGTAAATGGAGAAAGATGAATTCAATGATGGACAAGTGATGTTGAGAAGTCTGTTCATCTAGGTAGAGACTTCAGAGGCTTCTAAACAGTATATGTAAATTCTGTGCAGAAGCCCTAGCCCTAAAGAAGTAGAACACTAAAGTCAAGTCACCATGGCTACTATTTTAACGATATTAAAGTAACTAGCTTGGTCAAAGTATTTAATCTTTCTGAGCTAGTTGCCTTATCTATGAAATAAACATAATAACACTTCTTCCTGATATTATATAGTATGAAGCTCAGAGTATGGACCCTCTTACATAGAGATGGCTTGATAAATACACAAATTCCTTCTGGTGATTTGTGTCCATACCATGCTGTACTTCATAGAAAGCCAGAGGAAAAAGTCTTCAGGCTGTGTACTTTCCCTTTGGTAAGGAGATGCATGGCCAGAACTAGATCCTCAAAATCAGAAAGAAAATAAAAGAACTAGGAAGGAGTTTAAACTCATACCCTGTGCTTCCCATTCCCAGCACTAGCTTGATGGGTGGTGTGGCCTGATCTGTAACTAGCCTATGTTCTGATACTCCTGGAACACCTACTATATGTCTATATGCCTGGAATCACCACTGGTTAGCTCTGCCCTCTAGAAACTCCCAATTACCCCCCAGATACATGCAATTTTAAAAATGACCATCAAAGCATGCTGACCCTGGGTGACCCTGTGTGTCAGAGTAAAGCTCTGCTCCATTATGTTTTCGATGGCTAATTTTTTGGAAGTAGATCATCAGGCCTTTCTTCAGAGATGCCTCTGGGTGAACTTGTTCCTCCAACCTTTCAGCTAGCAGCTAAGTGTTTTGACCATTTAAACCAGAGACACCAAACAAGTCTATCTATGAATTCATTGATCTGACTTTAATGTTATAAGTTGCATTATCCAGGAGAGAGCAAATATTCAAGAGGGAGAAACCAGAGAGGTCATTTTTACCAAGGGAAGGGAAGGCCAAAAACCATCCTAAAAAGAAGTCTCAAGAATAGCTATTTGACAAATCTGTTAGGCTGAGTTGACTAGAGAAACAAATCCAGTGACACTCATCTATGTGTAAGAAAGAGCGTTATATCAAGAAAGGATTCCAGCAATGTCCCATTGAAGTCCATAAGTCCCTCTTCAGACTCACACAATCACATGCAATGATGCAGAATGCAGGAAGATCACAGGCCAGTCTGTGCAAAGAACCCATGGATTCAGGTCATTGGAAAGATCACAGAGCTCCAGCTGCTCTCAAGGTCAGCAAGCAGGAAAGGTAAAGGCAAAGAGAGAAGGGAGTTCCCTGAATCCTCCTTATGAGAACTCCATGCCCACAAGGAGGCACCATTAGGCTATAACCTGATTGACAGGTTGAATACCATTCCTACACTAATATATATCTTCAGGTTGACATCAAATGATGTTACTACCACACCAAATGAATACAAAGGGGGCTTCAAAAAGTTCTTGAGAAAATGAAATTTAAAAATTATGGAATTTTTCCCTACAAACTTAGTGCCTATATACATGCAAAGTCACATAGATTGAATGCCCTTCTCTGAATGTGGAACGTAAAGAGGTTCCCACAATGGTCATTTTTCCAATGAAGTGTAGCAGTCTCTTAAAACACTGCAGATATTGTTTTCAGGATACCCTTAGTTCATATGCCCACAGTAGTATACATAAAAGGGTTTGAAGGATTGGCATTGAATTGAAGAAACCGCATTCAAAAATCTGGATGGATGCCCAGCTCAAAGGTCTAGACACTACTTAGAAGTTAAAAAAGTTCATGGTTGTTAGACTGCAGGTCAGAAGAAGAACCGAGTAGAAAGTCACCATCTTTGCTTGATAGGATCAATCTGTGTAAAAGAAGGAGGCTCTCGATCACGGTGTCGTTCTTTTACTACTGCTCCTAGTGCACTTTGGCCACATCTATTTGCCTTACTTAAGCCCTGGAATGCAATGTGATTGTCATAGCATGTATGGATATAAACCGGACTATCTCCCTTCTGCCTCACGTGGGCCAGAGTATAATTCTAGAATGAGGTGCAACATTCATCCCTGACTGGGTATAGCTTCAATTAGCCCTTGATAGGAAAGGAAAATATTTCTTCTAGACAGGTGCAAGATGCACTTTGGAGAACTCTTTAGGGAGCAATTTTCTTATGTCCTTTGAAATACATATAGGAATAATGAGGGCAACAAATGTATAGATGTGTTTTATACAATTGATCTATGTATTGTGATGAATTGTATGAGCCCCAATAAATTGATTAAAATATATATAAAAAAAGAAATACATATAGGAACAAATTTTTCCTGGTGATGTTTAATGTATCTATCACAGCCCAGCCTTAGGCAATATCCCCAAAGGTTATCTTTGACTAACCAGTTTTCTCTCTCTGCTTAAAAACTCTTTATTCAGATATGGGTCCCCATATTTAAGAGCATATTGTGGGTCAACTGTCTCTGTAAGAACTACTTCATTTCAGCTATTTGCTTACTCCAAGATGAGGAGATTTTTTGGGAATCTCAATCTTCCTAATTCTCAAGAAGGTCAGTGTTCAGGGAGTTGTTCTTTATCCTGAAATGTTTACAGTGGAATTCAATTATGCTTTACTTACTTGGCAGTAAATTGTATTTTCCATAGCACTGGAAGAATTTCTATGGACTTTCAGTTTACTATTGGAGTTATTATGAACAGTTTAACCATAGTAGCAATAAGAATTAGCATTAATTGGATTACCTACTGTATTCCAACCCCTCTGTATTCTACCACAATTAGTAGGTAGATAGCCTTATCATATGGAAATGAAGCTTAGAGAAGTTACATGCCTCAATAGATGTCGAGACACTAAAAATGAGGACTAGTGTTTGGATTGAGGACGCTTACTCTAAAAATTACATTCCTGACCATTATTTTAAATTTCATGAATTTCTGAGTCAGACCCAATCTATTATGTCCACTGCTACAAAAATATGGCTCACAATCATCAGGCTCTAGTATGGGATTCTCTGACCATAGGTCTTGCCTATGTTATCTCCTAGCCTATGATTGTGGACTAATGCCATATTTGGGGCATATTTGACAAATAAAAGTGACTGGAATTCTATAAATTGCTATTTATCTTCACATTTGTAGGTAAGATAGAAATGTGACTCCTTTATAGATTTCAGAGAAATAATTAGCCAAATATAAAATAGAGAAGTACCTTCGTTGCCAATGCATAAAAATTATATGTGTAAACATTTCTGACAGATACTGACCAGATGGATCTGTATTTGACTACATGACAATTGACAGCAATAATAACAGAAGAAGTTACCTGATAACCACCTGTCAGTGTGTGGTACTGTGATGGCTTGCATGTTGCTATGATGCTGGAAACCTATGCTACCAGGATTTCACTGACCAGCAAAGTCACTCATGGTGACAAGGTTTTAGCCAAGTTTTTAGGTTAAGATATACCAAGAAGAGAGGTCTGGTGATCTACTTCCAAAAAATAGCCAGTGGAAACTCTACGAATCATAAAAGAACATTGCCTGATAGCATTCTAGAAAATTGTCCCTCTGAAGTTTGAAATAACTTAAAATCCACAGTTCTCCTGGCAATGGGCTCAAGCACACCAACAATTGTGAAGATGGCACAACAGCAAGCAGCCTTTCGCTCTGTTATACATGAAGTCACCATAAGTCAATACCAACTTGACAACATTTTACCTATGTATTTTACCCAGGTATTTGAGTTAATCATAAAAGTCAGCATGGTGGTGAAGTTTTGTTAAAAATACAAAAACCTCAAAGTTTAGTCTCAGAAATTTTCATATGATCAGAAATTATCGATTTAGAAAAGTAATGATCCACTTAAAAATAAAAAAGGAATAAAGAATACAGAAAGGAATAAGGACCATACATTTGTACAGAGAGACAAATGTAGGATCTACAAAAGTAACTTTAAAAGTTTTACTGAACGGAAGAGGAGAAAAATTGAATATGTTGAGAAACATGAGTTTCTATACATTAGTTAAGGATACTCAATAGTACATGTTTCCCACATCTCTCCAAAGAATATCTACATACTGCACCCTAAAGTTTTTCTCTGAATGGTAGAATTATAGATTATCATATCTTTTCCTAATGCTTTTCTTTTTTGTTATTTTTAGTCGGGATTTAATACATATACCATATCATTCCATATTTCAATC